ATACCAACTAGATGGCACCTAATAACAACAATGGAGTAGTTCTACTGTCCTATAGGATCACCACGACTTGTAATCAACTCACCGTAGTCCCTGAAAATAAATTCAAACTTTTACTCATGGCTCTTTCTAGTCTCCCACTGGAGTCTAGGTATGGCAATATGGGTTAATACACTGGACTGCAAGGTCGGTATTAATTGCAAGATCAGCAGTTCGAGTTCACCAGCACTCCTCAGAAACCTTATATATCTCCCACTGTTTAACTAAAGCATTAGCACTCAGATCCACACCTCCTGCGCTTATGTAGTTGCTGATTTCCTTTCCACCTTAGGGAGGAAACATCCTGATTTCGTTACAGCCTCTACAATAATTACACAGAAGTCTCCATTTTCTCTATTATGATCACTAGTATTATCTCCTCCCCCAGCGGATTCCAGCTCATAGCAGCTCTAGTTTCTGAGACTTTGTATCTTTACAGGAGCACAGCCTCATCTTTCTCTCACAGAATGGCTGGTAGATTTGAACCCCACTCTTATAGTTAGCAGAACAAAGCTTAACCCACTGTACCACCAAGCTCCTCTCCCCCTCCAACAAGCACAGCACTACCAATTAGGAAGAACCAAGGGGAGGAGGGAAAAGCTTCGTCTTTGGTGATTCATTTACAGGAATAAGGAAGCATGGTAGTAAATTCTTTTGGTACAGGTTCTGCCAGATTTTAAGTCTTGACACGCAGAGTTCTGTGAGATCAGGCTAGAGCAGTACTCAGAATCAATGATGATGCACAAGGCAGCCACACATGCTTTTCACTTCTGCTGGATTGCATTTTAGAGGAAAAATGGTAGTGCAATGAATTTCTAAACCTTTTAAACATTTGCAGACGAAGAGTGATTTTCAGCCATAAATTTCTGTGTATGTACTGCTGTGCTCAAAATTTCCAACTCTTGTGTTCTGGCCAATCCCTGAGCATTTCTTTGTTGTTGTTAGGTGCCACAGCTCCTCTACGCTCCTCACAACCATTACTGTTTGAATCCATTGTTGCAACCACTTTGTTAATCCACCTTGTTGGGGTCTTCCTTGTTTTGGGGATCACCCTCTACTTTACCAAACATGAAGTCCTTTTCCAGTTGGACTTGGTACCTCCCAATAATATGTCCAAAGTGCATGAGAGGAAGTCTCTCCATCCTCAGGTCTAGGGATCAATAAGCCTACTGAACTCAGTAACTATGTAAAAGGTCAATGACTATTTTCCCAAAGTGAAAAACAGGCCAATGGTCTTGGCAGCCTGTGGTTGCTTTCCTACCATTTGTCGACCACTATCAGTCTTTAACAAGGAGCTCTGGTAGCATAGTGGTTACAAATCAGGCTGCAAACCACAAGGTCAGCAGTTCGAAACTACCAGCTGTTCCGCAGAAGGACAAGGACTTCTGGTCCCGTAAATTTACAGCCTCGGAAATCCTGTACAGGGTCACTATGAGTCGGAACCAACTCCACGGCACATAACCACCACCACCATCAGTCTTTAAAATCCTACATAGAGGATGGATGTCTCCAATCATAAATCGCTCTTAGTAAACAACAGTAAAATCCTACTATAGTTGTTTTCAAAGTTCAAATAGTTGATTTAAAAATTCAAATGTTTTGAGAACTATATGAAATCATATACTGTTTCAGACTCATATAAATATTATTTGGCAAGCACTAAGTATCACAGCTAAATAAGCCACAACTGATATTGGGAAATCAATCCTTAGTTGAACAATGTAGACTCAATAGTAAATCTGAAGACCCATTTCTCAGTCCTCTCTAGAAGACTTCAAGTAAACTGCACCAGCTGCACATGGCTACATTCTAACCCTTTGTGTATAGTTATAGTGCTCAATTCCACAGCACTAAAACTGCTTCAGACATCTCTGAGAAACAAGTTGAAAGCATTTTATAGTGGAGGAAAATAACGCATTATGAGACTTACTGAAAGTCAGTTCATTTCAATGAGTGGAGGTAATACTACACACAGTAGAAATCTATTTTCACTAAACCATTTAGTTCTAATTAGTGGAAGAAGACAAATTAATTAGGAGCAGTACTGAAATTTAGCTGTTGTTAAGTGCCGTAGAGTCAGTTTGGACTCACAGCCACCTTGTCTAGGATTTCTAAGGAGTAAGCTAATGGGTTTGAACTGCCAACCTTGTGGTTTGCAGTCTAGTGTCCATCCTACAGCACCAAACCAGGATATGAAAAGCTGACATGTAATGGCTGAAAAATTCTAAACATTCGCTAAAGAAACAATTGCGCAGACTCTCAGTTGGTTAAAGCTGCAAGAAACAATATAGAATTTTTCTGTCTTTACACAGTGGCTTCTTAACTAAAGTAACTTTGCTCCTCTTTCTCCCATGTCTGGAGACTTCTGGCCATCACAAGTTGGGGTGGAGTGAGACACAACTGATGTCTAGTGGGTAGAGGCCCAGCAATGCTAATATCTTACAAGTCACAGCGCAATTCTCATGGACGGACCACTCAAAAAATCAACTGATGTATTATTGCATTAGGCAAATCTGCTGCCATAGCTCAGGAACAGTAATGATATCAAGCAAACATAAATTTTCCATGTCTTTTAAAAGTATTAGACTAAGATTATAGTAAACCAAGTGAACACATTTAGCTGTGCTTAGCTAAGTAAGCTACTATTAAGTTTAAAAGAAATATTTGGGAAGTTAAAATCACTTGCTTTTTAGAGAAAAGGGGTTATTATATACTATTAGAACACTGGGCTATCATGGTGTGCAATTAACCAGTTATGAGTACAATCTTTAAATTTTTTGTGTGTATAAAAATCACTCATCGCATAGCAACCTTTGTTACTGATAATCACTAAATAATTCCAGAACTCCCAAATCTGGAAACATTTTCAATTTAAAAGATGAAAAGGTTTTCCTCTTCTGAGAACTCAATTTGCCAAGATCATTACTAATAATTGAGACCAGAATGAAAAGGTTTAAAGAAGTCCAGTTATAGTTATTAATACCTCAAGAATAGCAATCCATATACTAAAAATCATTTTGGATTCTGACACATACTGATACTAGAGTCAAATAAAGTTAAATTGTAGGCATTTTCCCCTCAGTAATTTTAATTAAAAGTGGCTTTTATGATATCCTAAGGAGCTCTGTTAGCATAGTGGTTATGAATAGGGCTGCTAATCTCTTGGTCAGCAGTTTAAAACTACCAGCTGTTCCGCGGGAGAAAGATGATGCTTTCTCCTCCTGTAAAGGTTTACAGCCTCGGAAACCCTGCACAGAGTCACTATGAGTCAGAACCAACTCCATGACACAGAACAGCAACAACAGGGGGGAAAAAACCTACCTTGGATTTAATTTTAACTTTATAAATTTCAAAAACAGGTTGCTGAAAAATCTTAAGTTACAGTACAGATGTTCACAAAGTCTTGTTTTTCTAGTACTAATAGACAAATAAGCAACTTACTGTTCTAGAAAGGGAAAACCTGTGATTTCATATTGTTTTTTTAAAAAAACAAACTGTCACATCATTCAAGCTTTTGGCAGACTATACCACCAAATACTCCGACTGTGTTCCATTTTCAACCAACGTTATTAAAGGAATTTTATTGAATAAACTAGACCAGAATATTCTTTTTCCAAGCAGTAGATGAACTGTTACTATATTGTCAATGTTTCATTCCATACACAATTAAACAAGGGTTTAAAGAGGTATGATTTTGGAGTGGCAATCTTTTGAAAATTAGGATTCAATTTAAGATATAGAAAATTTACTTGCTGTAATTTTCAAGCTCTTTAATAATCAGTATCAAAACACTTACTAACCATAATATCTAGAGACTGGCAAATAATTTTAACAATTTAATTTTTACTAAAATTTCAAGGAGGCAGAAGATGTCAATTCAATTTTCCCATTGCTCAGTATTATTATATACATGTGGCCATATATAGCTTACACCATATTTACTTGTTAATTTCAGTTAACTTAATTTTTCAATGGCTAAGGATTTTGTCTAATTTATCGTTATTTCAAACTATAATCATGAGTATTTAATCACATTCCAATGATGTCTGAGACTGGGCTAGATATAGAAATATCAGAACATCTGCTATAACTGGTTAAGTAGATATGCCTTATTTCATTCCTTTACCGTTTGCCTGGCAAGAGTAGGTAAAAATAATTTATCTGTTTTATGATGGCTACATAAAAACACTGATGAAGTCATCATACTCCAATCTTTTAAGAATTATTTTAATATGCGGTTGAGCAGTTTTCAATTATCATTAATAAACAATCATTTAAAATTTTATCATTCAGTACTATTGACATTTCTCTTAAGTATCTTCTTTCTGCCTTATTTTCATTCCATAAACTAACCTTACCTTAAAACTCAACCCCATATTGAAATTTCATTTAAAAGAAATCAGACTTAAAATATATCTGTGAAAAAAGCAAACAGCTAGTTTTGCTATGGGCTTTAGATCTCTCAAGGAATCCACTTGTGGAAAAGCACTAAACCCAATGTAATTATACCAGTAAGCAGAATGAGTGGAGTCCACACTGCCACTTCCATCTCTGTAAATGAACCACATCACTACCACAAGTAACTAATCAGAAAGGTTCAGCATTTAAAATCTGAGCATGCCTTTCTGTTACTAATTTAATTACAGATGTGTACGCATGAGTATATACACACTACAGCCCTATCCACTTGGTTACATATGTGTATATGTGGGTATATATACACACTACAACCATAGTCACTACTAGAAAAGACCATTTTTGTAGTAAAATAAAATTTCAGCTGTCTGAAAAATGAGACACCTCAGGGGTGGGGAGAAATAAAAGAAAAGCACCTTGGACTTTTAACAGTAAAATAAAACTAAAGAAAACTCCAATACATGAAAAGTATATGGATTTAACTTTGGACAATTAACTAAGACGTTCACACAGCATATGCATGTCAATCTTCTATTTGGTCCCGGTGTCTACAGTATTATAATTTATTATGAAACCATGTAACCAAATATATCCACAACATCTATACCATGGTATATGCATAGTACATAATATACTGACATCTTAAAATAATTCTCTATTACAGTTATATGCGAATTATGGTATGACATTCACCTGCCACATTTTGAAATGGCACTAACTTTAGGTAAGGTTCCATGTCAATGCACTAGTCAAAATCCTTACCAGTAGCAATGTCATCTGAACATGTGAAACCAAGCTATTAATCTAATCACCACATTATGTTACCAATTAAAACCACTGTATATCCAGATGTTAAAGCAGATAATACAGCAAAAGTATTTCTATTTCACAGTTTCAAAAATAAAGGTGCAGTTTTCAAATATCTGATTGCTTAAAATTGGTCACTCAATGTAACTGCCTCCTTCAATACATGTAAACTATGTTTGCACAGCTTTAGGAGATGGTCTTGTTTTCAGAAGTTAGTCCTTACTGTTACAGGAGCACCACAAATCTGAAGGAAGAGGCTACAGTATGAAATGAGCTCACTGAAAGATATTAAATAAAACTTATACTACAATATAAGGTACTGCAAAGCTTTGATTCCCCCCGCATAGATCCCTTAATCAAGAAAAGTAAGTCAACACTTACCAAATACAACATGAAAATTAGCTCTACAAGAGAAAGTGGGGAAAAAAATCTACCTCAACTAAAAAAAATACCATTATCGGTTAACAAACCTGTAATACCTGGCTTCAGAATATTCCTAAAATTAAAATTCAAGAGCACACAGTATTTATACCCTTAGTTAAGGAATAAAGAGCTCCAAAGAGAATGAAAGAAAAACATGACTTTACGAATTTCTTGATGGAAATAGACACACACAAATGGGTAATTGAGAAAAACAAAGTACTTAAATATTCAAATTTTAAATGTTTAAGAAAATCTGTAATAGAAAAAAGTGGCAAATTGTTATTGTAACTTGATCTGCTGAAAACACCTGCAAATTCACACTGGCATTAAGAAAACCCAAGTTTCAAAATTTTACTCCTTTTTCACTCTCCAGATATGTTTTCTGTGCAAAAATAAATATCTGAAAATTGCACTAATACAATTAATACTTATTTTAACTTGTATTATGAATACTCTGTACATGCTGCTTTACAGACAATATAGGTTTATAAATTTACTCATGCAAAATTAGTGTGTCCACGGGGGTGGGGTGGTGGGGGTGGTGGAGTGGGGGTATTAATTTTTCATCTCCTACTTAAAAACTGATACTTTATTATATTGTTAAAACTGCCAAACCCTCTGAAATGTAACAACTCTTATATGGATATCCTTGTCTGCCAGCTAAAAATCAATTTATGTTGCTGAACCAAAAAGTTGTACAAGAAACATGGTTATAGTCTTGTAGAATTTTTGATTTTTAAATAAAATTTATAAAAGAAAGAAATTCATGGTCACAAAATTTTAACGTTTTAATCCTAAACATTACAGGGTAAATAGAGACTGGACGTTATTTCCATGTTCCATAAATCTTAACGTTTAGTTTACATTTAAATGTCCTAACCACTAAAACATTAGTGGTTTTACAACTTCTGGATTATGGAAATACATACTTCAGAAATAAATGCTACAAAAGCAACCATGGAAGTCAAACTGTCTTCATGAGGGGAAAAAAATGGAACATTTTGAAGCCTTTATAGATACTTCTCTTTCCATCTCTTATGATTAACCTGTGAACTCAGTGCATCATACTGTCAATGTAATGGTCCCCATGTTGAACAAACATTTAGCTAGTGTCCATTGATTCCAAATTAGTAGATGATGAATCTTTCTGGATACTTTCAAAGATGGCCGCTAGCTCAGGGTTAGAGCTGATCTGTGACTGGAATTCACTCATCAGTGGGCTCTTCTCTGCTTCTGGAATGGTTAGCAGTGCTGCTACTGCTCTCATGGCAGATCGTTTCAGTTCATCTTGCTTTTCAAACTCCTGTTTTACTGAGTTTGCCTTTACCTGTAACATTGGGAAAATTGAGATTATATGTTATAAGAATTAGTCTTACACAAATAAAATGTAAACACATAAAATTTTCTTAATGGTAAATAAAGCAAAGAGACTTTATTGTAAATTCAAAGGGAATATTATATTCTAAGTACAGTGTTTCTAAAAATAAATATATATATCAGTAGCTTTTTTCTTAATACCATGTCCCACTGTAAAAACAAAAAACTCAGAGCACTCCTAGTTGAAGTAAGGAGAGTAGAGCCTGGAGCGGTTTCTGCTCAACAAGCCCTACTTTCAGTTCTCAAAAGAAAATGCTCCTTTAATTCCCCACAGCCTGTCAATTCCGAATTCCTCACATACAGGATGCACTGACATCCATGTGCATACTCACTGTTAGACAAAAAGCCCTGCTCATCGTCTCAGTCTAAAGAAAAAACATCCCCATTTGTTCAAAGTCTGTTTCAAAAGTCAGCACCTTCATACAAAGCTTTATGAGTCTGCCATCTCCAACCAGAATTAAGCACTTCCTCTTTGGTGACTCTATCAAATTTTATTCCACATAACATGTCATGTTACAGCAATTTAAAAAAATGCCGAATAGCATTTAACCATATTGTTTTATAAAGCATTCACATGCATAGGTTAACTTTATAAACTAGCAGATAGATAGGTAAGGTGCAAACATGATTTGATTAAGTCTGGATAACGACAGTACAGCATCAACTAGGACTCCTGAAGACGCTGAAGTCTGGCCTCAGTCGATGCTGACATCACTGATTACCTTAGTTGTACATGTGGCACGTAGTGGCTCAACAAGTCGGTCCAACCTCTGAAGTACAGCACTTGGACAAAGGGTAGAGAGTCTTACCAACATTAAAAATGTTAGCATCTATTAGGAATAAAAAGATACAAAATTCAGACTTTGCATTATTTGTGGAACACAAAATCTAAATTCTGACAAACAAATGACTGATAACGCACAATAAAGTTCCACTGTCCTGTAACTGGTATTCTGAATCACACAGATGACTCAAGGAATTTGAGGTACAAGTGCTAGAGAGATCTCACCTGTAATGTGATCTTTGAGTTCAGAACAAGAAAAGTGGTTCTTAATCTTGATGGCACATTAGAATCTGCTGAGGAGCTTTATTAATATATCCAGTTCTTAACCCCACCCTCAGAGATTTTTATTTAACCTATCAGCATAAGATCATAAATTCAAAAATTCAATTGCTTTTTAAAAGCCCCTTTGGAAAATTCTCATGTGCACCAGGGCTGAAAATCTAAACTAAATGGAAAACTCAATACTAAGTTTTCACTGAATTAATATTTTCCTTAAAAAAAAGAAAAGGCCTAGCTATTCAGATTCATCTATAACCTGTAATCAGTTTTCTCTTGGACTAAAAACTCACAGAAGTCCCGTTATTTCTTTTTGGACTCTCCTAATTAAATTATAGAAACCAAATTGGAGTTCTGGTAATACTGCAAAATTATTGCTCAAGTACAACTTTACCCTATTGAACTGAAAGTTCTATGAGTACATGAGACAGATACAATTCATCTATTTTTCAAATCACTCTTTACTGTTCATATTTAAAGCCAACATAAGCAAACAGGAAAATAAAAGCAATTAAGAGCGAGTTAGCACTCTAAATCTAGGAAGAGGTATGACTTGCTGTAGCATTACCTTCTACTAAGAATGCTTTGCATATCTGAAGACAGTTCTTTCATGTTGGCGTTTGACAAAACTCTTGATATTATACATAGCATATTACGGTTGTTGTTGTTAAGTGCTGTCAAGTCAGTTCCAACCCACAGCAACCCTGTATAGGGTTTCCAAGGAGCGACTAGTGGGTTTGAACTGCCAACCTTAAGTTTAGCAATTCAGTGCTTATCCTATAACATCACACCAGGATTCTACTTACTATGAGGGGGCTTCAAACAGCTACTGGAAAAATTAAAAGACAATAGAATTTCCCCACAAATTTCTGGAAGTTCCCTTGTACAATCAATATTAAGCCCAAAAGGCCCCAGACTTATATTCTGAACAGCAAAAAATGCTTAAAGGGCAGGATTCACTTAAGCTGCAACAGATTATTTCTTAGGATTTCCATCCACTTAGAAACTGGTGCGGCAATGCAGGTTAATACACTAGACTGCAAGGTCAGTTTAAAGCACAAGGTTGGTGGTTTAAGCTCACCAGCTGCTCCTTGGAATCCCTATACAGGGTTGCTATGAGTCAGAATCAACTTGATAGCCAAATGATATTACATTTCTGTACATATACATTTATAAGATGTGTGTGTGTGTCAAGTTATACTGATCTACATTGGAAAAGTCACAGCCACTGAAAATGCTTGGAAGCCCAGTTCTAATTTGACTCATATAAATGCGGTTGCCATGAGTTGCAACTCAGTAGACATCAACTGGTTATTACATTTATACATTATCATTTACTAAAACCATAATTGACAATCCAATTTTTCTCAAATTTAAGTAAATCATAAAGGGTGAGAGTTGCTACAAAAACAGTATTCTTTTAAAACATTTGATAAACAAGTACTTCTTACCTTAATATCATAATGGTCCTTCAAACCATCTTCAACATGATTTAGAAATTCAAAGATATCTAGTCTATCAAGACAACTGTCTAGAAGTGTGTACATACACTCAAAAGCTGCCTTTCTAATATCTAGGCCGTCATCAACTGTATGTTTAAATGGACCCATTTCTACCTGTTAAAACAAGAAAGAGCATGCTGGTATATTTAAAAGGCAAAATGCAAGTCAAAACCATAATGAAATAACATTTCACATCCACTAAGACAGTAAATGTCAAAACAAAAAAAACTAACAAGTGTTGGTAAAAATGCTGATTAAAATGAGAAATTTCATGCATTGCTGGGAGAAAAATAAAGTAAGTCTGGCTTCGATAGAAAACAAACAAAATTACCATATGATGCAGAAATTCCACTCTTAGGAATAAACCTCAAAGAGTTGAAAGCAGTAGTACTGATATCTGTACATCAATATCAACTGCCGTAGTATTTACAGTAGCCAAAAGTTAGAGACTATTCAAGTATCCATAAAAGAGAAAAGAATAAACAAAATGTAGTGTATGCATGCAATGAATTATTTAGCCTTAAGATATTATGTTCTAGTAAAGTACATGTACATTACAACACAGATGAACCTTAAAAGAAACATCATGCTAAATAAAATAAGCCAGACACAAAATGACAAATATTGCATGATTTTATTTATATGAAATAACAAGAACAGACAAATTCTGAGACAAAAAAAGTAAATTAAAGAGTACTAGGGGCCAGGGGAGAAGAGAATGAGGAATCACTGCTTAATGGTACAGAGTTTCTATATGACGTGAATGCAAAAACCTCTGGCTATAGATAGTTGCACAATTGTGAAAACAGTTAATATGTCCTTATATACTTAAAAATGGAAATGTTTATGTAATATATATTTTACCACAATGAAGTGTTTAAAAGGCCAAAAATAAGCTTAGATAAAGCACTCCAACTCACTTACCTCTCTTATAAGCTCCTTTCTAACTTTTGTCTCATTGTAAAGATGTGGAAGAACAGTATCTAAAAGATCCCTTATTAATGAAGGTTTATTATGTGCTGCTGAATTAAACGTGACCAAGGCTACTCTTCTTACATTCAAATCTGGATCTTCCAACGTTTTTAGGAAATCGCCTGAAAATTTGTCAGAAGCAACACAGTTATGGTAGTCATAAAATAATAGTATATGCTATATATATTTTAAAATTCATAGTTGGTTATTATTTCTCCAATGAAACTCATGAAAACAGAATCTGATAAAATATCAAGGGAGTCCAAAATTTCTTGTGGCAGTATTTAAACTACCATTTCAGGAGCTGAGAGCTCTCGTAGCGTAATGGTTACGAATTGGGCTGCAAACCTTAAGGCCAGCAGTTCGAAACTACCAGCCGCTCCGCGGGAGAAAGATGAGGCTTTCTGCTCCCGTAAAGATTTACAGCCTCGGAAACCCTGTACAGGGTCGCTATGGGTCAGAACCGACTCGAAGGCACTTAACAATAACAACAACACCGTATATAGACACAGGGCAAAAACTCATTAAGTTCCCTACCATCACTTCTGTAAATACTTTATAGAGATATAAGTTGCAAAAAGATGTGACAGTATCTAAAAAACATCAAACAGGAATTTCAAAGTATAGAACAAGGTGAACACAGATGACGACAGAATATTATGAATAAGTATTCTGTATCAGAAGACAAAAACAAAAGCCCTAGTTAATTTCCATCCTTACCAAGAAATTCATAAATTATGAGAGAATAAAAAGAAGATACACAGAACAAAAAGTCAACGAGAACATCTAGCTACTTTTATGAACAGATTTCAGTGTACGAGACTTTGCAAATATGGGGAAAATGTTACAGTGCAAAGATCAGAGTCACAAAAACAGTAATTCAAGTAATTCTTGTAACTGACAAATTCTTTAGGCAAATCACTTTCGGAACAAGACTGTTCCGAGTCTACAAAATGAGGATTATAAACCTTTTAGGTCTACTGAATGGGATAAACAATGTCTGATACATATCTACTATTGCATTTACCATTATGAGTGTGGTCTCAACACTACCATCAGCAATACTTTGGATTACACGGGTAAGTAAGGGGCAGAAGTGAGTGTACCAAAATAGCAATTTTTAAAGACTAAGAAAAATAAGGTTCCAGACACTATAGATTGGAAACTCAAATTGGCACCCACGGAAGTTCATATAAGATTAAAAACAAAACAACAATGTTTAAAAGACATTTCCGTGTATTCAATTATTATCCCTCTCATCACTCTTGTTTGTACAGAACCACTAGGTTTGTAGATTAGAAGATTAAATGGAATGAGGTGTTGCGTATATGTGTGTATATATATATTCTCAGTAAGATATCACACTATTCTTACTATGAACAAAATTGTAACACAGACTAAATCAGTGGTTCATAATTGCTTGACCCCAGAATGTTAACATTTAAAAAGCTGCCTAATGAGTGGTGAGCTCCAAAATACCACAACGCCTGAATTAAATAAGAATAATCACCTGCTTGAATAAATACACCAATGATGTACATTGGTGGACTAGTAGCAACATGAAAAGAAGTCTCTAGGGATGTGGCATATATGGTGCAGACATCCACCTCTGTCTTGTGTAACACTGAAAATGTGAATCTATATGCATCAACACAAAAAACAAGGTGGGAAAAGGAAGGAAGACTCTTTTGGTTGTCGTTAAGTGCAGTCGAGTTGGTTCCGACCCATAGTGACCCTGAGTGTTTCCAAGGACCAACCGGTGAGCTTGAACCACTGACCTTGCAGTCCAGTTCATTAACCCACAGCATCACATAGCTGCCCTCAAATATGTTCTGATTGATAGCAACCCTAAGCACAACAGAGCAAAAACACTGCCTGTAGCACTGCAGCATCCTCACAATTGTTAGGTTTGAGTCCATTATTTGGCTGGCACTGTGTCAATCCATCTTGTTGAGGGAACTTCCTCTTTCTAGCCCACCCTCCTCCTTCACCAGGGACTGGTCCTTCCGGACACCATGTCCAAAGTGTGATAGATGAAGTCTTGCCAACCTCACTTCTAAGAACACTCAGCCCTGGCTGTACTTTTTCCAAAACAGATTTGTGACATCTTTGCGCTTTAATAATTTAAAGAGATCTTTTGCAGATTTGCCCAATATAATATACCATTTGATCTCGTGACTGCTGCACCCATGAGCGTTGATTGTGGATCCTAACAATATGAAGTCTTTGACAACTTCAATCTATTCTCCATTTATCATGATGCTATCTATTGGTCCACTTGTAAGGATTTTCATTTGCTTCATTTTGAGGTGGAATCCATATTGAAGGCTGTAGTTTTGGTACAGCCTTCAATATGGTAGAGTCATATGCTTATCACAGGTTGTTAATGAGTCTTCCTCCAATCACGAAGCTATGTTCCTTCATATAGTCCAGTTTCTGGGATTATTTCTCCTCAGTGTACAGATTGAGTAAGTATGGTCAAAGGATACAACACTGACACACACCTTTCCTGATTTAAACCATTCAGTATTCCCTTGTTCTGATCTAACAACTGCCTCTTCATCTATGTACACATTCCTCATGAGCACAGTTAAGTGCTCTGGAATTCCCATTCTTCACAATGTTATCCATAGTTTGTTATGATTAAAACAGCTGAATGACTTTGCATAGTCAGTCAATAAGCACAAGTAAACACATTTCTAGAATTATCTTTCAACCAAGAACAATGTAATGTGACATCAACAATGACATTCCTTGTTCCACAATCTCTTCTAATCTGGCTTGAATTTCTGGCAGCTCCCCCGTCAATGTACTGCTGCAATCATGTTTGGATTGTTTTCAGCAAAATTTTACTTGCATGTGACATTAATGATATTCTCCAATAATTTCCACGTTCCATGAGGCCACCTTTTTTTGGAATAGGCACAAATATCTCTTCCAATCAGTTGGCCAGGAAACTGTCTTTAGATCTAGCTATTCACATTCTCATACATTGTTAAACACTGATGAATCAGTTCTGACTCACAGTGACCCTGTGTAGAGTTTCCAAGGAGTGGCTGATGTTTGGACTGCTCACTTTGTTGTTAGCAGTCAACTGCCTACCTTAGAGCGCCACATCAAACCATTATTAGTAAACTTCAGAGACCCAACAAGAGCATCCCATTTGTGTTTTTACCTCCCTTATTCTGAAATGGCAATCCCTTTCCGTTGTTCTAAATTCACTTTCTTCTGCCCCATTTTGCTCCACTGTAGAATGGCATGAAGTTGGACAACTTCTCTACCACATTCTTCCATCCTCTCTGTTTGTATACTCATTCTCCTAGCCACAAGGTGACACAAAACCAAATTGAGAGTTTTGGGCTCCAACAAACTATAGGGAAACCAGTGATGAAGACAATATAAAACAAAAGAGCTATAAAATCTTAAGAAACCCCAAAAGCAAATTCTTAACTTCACAAAAATCACAGAAACAGACATATCTCTAGTCTTTATGGTGTACCTCTTAAAAGTCCTTCAGGAATTAGTTCTATCTAACATTAGCTTTTGGAAGAAGTGCAGCCAGAGTGCTCCTTGGAGGCCAAGATGGCCAAACTTTGTCTCTCATACTTCAGACATATTGTCAGGAGGGACCAATCACTGGAGAAGGATATCATGTTTGGTAAGGTGAAGGGTCAGAGAAAAAGAGGAAGACCCCCAACGAGATGGACTGGCCAAGTAGCAGCATCGATGGATGCAAGCGTGGTAACAGTAGTGAAGTTGGCCCAGGATCGGGCAGTGTTTCATTCTGCTGTGCATAAGGTCTCTCTCTATGGGTTGGTACCAACTCGATGGCACCAAACAACAATATTAGCTTTGGAGTCCTGGTATAGCGCTGTTAATTAATGCGATTGGTTTGAACCACAAGACTTGCAGTTTAAGCTCACCCGTCACTCCTCAGAAACCCTATACAAAGTCGCTGTGAGTCAACGCGGCAGCACTTAACAACAAGCACCATCTTTGGAGTCTTGGTGTGGCACTGTAATCACTGGACTGCAAACTGTAAGCTCGGTGGTTCAAACCCACCAGCCACTCATTGAAAATCCTATAGGAGGTTGCTATTAAGTTAGAACAGACTCAACAGCAATTAATATTATCCTCAGGTCGTTTGAAACTCCCATAGATCCCTTTGAGAAGTGAAGGAGTACAAGCATTAATAGAAAACTGGGGCCCTAATTGCTTGAGTAAGTTTCATTTACATCTAAAGGCAAACTTCAGGCTGATTGTGGTTGTTAAGTGATGTTGAGTTAGTTCACCAGACTCATAGCAAACCTGTATAGGGTTCTAAGGAGTAGCTGTTAAAAAGTCTGAACAATCTACCTTGTGGTTAGTTCAGACCTTATCCTACAACATCACACCAGGTTAGATCAATCAATTATCTTTTTACTTTATCCATTAAAGCGATCTTATGTTATCAACATATTGTCAAATGTATAGTGGTGGGGGCTGCATGCTGTCGAGCTGGTTCAGACTCATAGTGACACTATAAAAGGTTTCGAAGGATGTGAACAGGCTGTAAATCTTTACAGGCACAAAAACTCTCACCTGCTTCCCACAGAGCAGCGGGTGAACTGGAACCGAGCTTTGCCATAAGCAACCCAACTTGTATAACCCACTATGCTACTAGGGGCTCCTTCATCAAATGTATATAGGTGACTCAAACTAAAGGCAATTTTAAACACAGTGAATGACCCAATTAAAAGATTATTTTTTAAATGGGAGCAAATAGAAAGAAACATTCTTGGATGGTTACCAGGGGTAGGAGGAGAGGGAAAACAATTCCCTGACTAGAGGGTTATTGTTAAAGTGCCAATGAGTCACGATTCTTACTCACAGGAGACCCCGTACAGGTTTTCAAGAAGTGACTGGTGAGTTGGACCGACTGACCTTGAAGTCCAGTGCTTTTCCTATAGCACCATACCATGGTGGACATGTGTTAACTTGGGTGATGGAAAAGGCAGTAAGCAAAAAGAGGTTGGCAGAAAAATGATGGAAGACAGGGAGGAATACAAAGGTTACAGTAAATAGAGTTAAAAAATAATGGCATATACACAACCATGCAACACAAAGCATTCTATGGGTAAATACCTGGACAAATACACAGGATTAATAGGTATGGGAGGGAGAGTGGCAGTATACAAATATATTAAAGTTGAACAGACAAATGCAAAAATCATGTAACAGTAAATATTTCCTGAAGATAATTCACAAAAACAGTTGCAACCGTACATCAACAGGAACTACCAAGAATTCAAGCCACATTCAGAAAATGACATAGAACTAGGGATATCAATGCTGACATCAGAAGAATCTTGGCTAAAAGCAGAGAATACCAGAGAGATTTTACCTGTAATTTATAGACTATGCAAAGGCTTCCCACTGTGTGGATCAGGACAAGCTCTGGAAAATACTGTAAAGAATGGGTACTCCAGAACATTTAACTGTGCTCATGAGGAACTTGTATAAAGAACAGGAGACAATCATTCAAAGAGAACAATGGGAGAATGAATGGTTTAAAATCAGGAAAGGTGCGCACCAGAGCTATTATCCTTTTACTAGGCTTCCTGGTCAAAAAGACACTGGAGAAACCAGAGACTGTGGCTCTTGGCTTCTCCTCAGATCTAGACAAGAACTCACTCTCATGGCCCAATTTCCAACCAAGGCAGCAACAGTAATTAAGTAAGGCATGCTCACCATGGAATGGTCAACCATTCAAGACCAAAGGGCACCATTTACCTAAGAACAAAAATCAGAAGGGTTGGGAAGAGGTTGGTGGAATGGAAATAAACACCACAGGGTGAAAGTGGGATAAGGGTAACAGTTGTTACATGCAGGGGATAGTAATTATTGGCATTAAACAAAGTACAGGCTTTGTTGAATGTAAAACTGATGATCTGATCTGCTTGTCACTCAATTTGTAAATAAAGGGCTTTTTAAAACATGGGAACAGTCAACAAAATGAATTTCTGAGTACACATGGAAGTAGCAGTCACGAAATAAAACCATTCAAGATCAAAAGGACAAAATTTACCAAAGAACAAAGTTTAGAAGAGTTGGGAAATAAGAACCACTGGGAGGAAATGGGATCACATCAGTATGCCCCAGATAGAGTGGGAAAAATTGTGGAGCATAACTCAGAAAAGAAAAAGACGGGACCTACTGAAAAGAAAGACTGGAGGAAACTGAGACCCTGGCCGTCAGGCATAGTTCTGGACCGGCTTTCACCCGCATGGCCATTTTCGGCAAAGCAGTAGGTAAGTGTATGGTGCTGTTTGTTAAGTCAGTCCCGACCCATAGAGACCATGCATAGGATTTTCAAGGAGCAGCTGGTGAACTTGAACCACTGACCCTGTGGTTCAAACCAACTTTGTAATGCAGCACATTGACCATCAATGCTACACCAGGATTCCAGATAAGTATATTGTTGTTATGTGCTGCTGAGTTGATTCCAGCTCATAATGACCCTGTATAGGGTTTCTGAGGAGCGGCTGGTGAGCTTGAACTGCCAACTTTGTAGTTCAAACCAATTTTGTGGTCCAACACATTAACCTGCAGCGCCATACCAGGACTCCAAATACAGAGGGGACAAATACACTACAAAAGAACTCTTTAGAAAGGTGTCACTTTGATCGGGCTTATTTGATCAGAAAGACAGGAGGAACCCAAGACTCTGGCCCTCAATCACTCAATATATCATGGACTGCCAAAAGAACAAAAAAAAAAAATCTGTCTGGAAAATATACAATCAAAATACTCTATAAAGGATGGACAGATTTCATCTCAGTTATTTTGATCTTTATCAGGAATGATGAATCCCTGGGGAAGAACAACATGCTGAGCAGAGACGTCAATGTAAAATGGAAAAACCTTCAACCATATAGAATGACACAGTAGCTGCAACAATGGACTCAAACATAGGGAGTATGAGTTGGTTACGGACCACAGAGGACCACTATGAGTCAGAAGTGATTCCAAGGCACCTAACAACAACATGCAAAAATGGAACTACAGTGACACAGTGGCTAAGGAAAAAAAGTTCAGTGATTGGACTCCACCAACTAGCTGCTCCAATGGAGAAAGATGTGGCAGTCTGCTTCCATAATGATAGCTTGGACACCTCAGGGAACAGTTGTACTCTGTCCTACAGTTTGCTAGAGTAGGAATTAACTCTACAGTAATGGGTGATAGATATGTAAAAGATACACATTTATATTCTTTAAAAATCTAATATGAAGTACAGAATGTGGGAAAGCTTATTTATACCAACAGTTTACATGATGAGAAAATGCAATTTATAATACCAAAACTAAAGAAACATCTTATGTTGATAAGACCACATATCTAAGTCTTCATAGAAACAGAGATAGTCAGTCTACAAATAGGCCTATTCTTAGTACATTTTACCCACAGAACAAAGCACTGAGAAACTGGTGCTTTTAAGATTTCAAAATGAAGACAACAAGGGGAAAGAGCTTTGGAAACAATGTCAAATGAAGACTATTCACAGATGAGAATACCAAGAATAAATACACAGGCCAAAAAAGACTGGTTGAGGTTGAAAAGAGAAAAAGAAAGCCATTTGATTCTTAATTACAACAATATGATGGAAGCTATGCTTCCTTTAAAAAAAGAAAAAAAACTAAAAATTAGAACTGTCCGACAATGGATAGTCAAGGTAGGCAGATAACCTAGTGTAAGAAAAGGTGTAGTAGAGTTCAACCAGGTAAAAGACTGGTCTAAATGACATATAAGAACCCTTCTAACACTAAAAGATTCTATAATTTAGATCTCAAAGAATTAAAAAGCAAAAAATACAATGCCATCAAGTTGATTACATTTCACAGCATCCATTAAAGATAGCCTAATGTGACACTGTGGGATAAAGCACAGCAAGGTCAGTTTTGGACCACAAGTTCAGCAGTTCAAATCTCCAGTCGTTCCTCAGAAGCTCTATGAAGGGTCATTATGGATTGGAACTCACTCGACAGCACTAACAACAACAATGCATTCACTAATTAGTTATTTGCAAAAGTATCTAGTAACAGTTTCAAACTAAGAGATGACAGGATATAAACAAAGGTAAAACTAATTAAATTTTTAATTGTCCACTGTCTTGGAAATGAAACACTGCCAGATACTTGTTGTTGTTGTTAAGTGGCACTGAGTTGGTTCCAACTCATAGTGACCCTGTACAAGGTTTTCAAAAAGCAGCTGGTGGGTTTGAACCACTGACCTTGTATGTGGTTAGCAGTCCAGTGCTTATCCAACAGCTCCACACCAGCACTCCTCCAGATCCTCATAGCATTTTAATTAGACATTTTAAAAATTACTAAATCATTAGCTTCTTGTCAACAACGCTATCTTTCTAAAATTAGTTGATCGGTAGGTGTTATCTTTTTTTCCACTTACCTATGCAGTTCTTTAATAGTGGATCAATAGGTTGTGGATGATCAGAAATTGTAAACTTTACAGCTGTAACCACTGAGCTTCGGGCATATGATGAGCCTAATTTAAAATAAATTGCATGTCTCTTGGTATGTAATCCACAAAAACCTAATGAAAACTTCATCATTTTCAAACCACTTCAAATAATACCCATGTTTTCAATTCCTTAAAATTTTCTTTGGTCAAGGGTATTACATATTGCTGTCAGACACAAAGTGAACAAAGTTTACCAACCTTATGAAACAAAATTCCATTTGATTTCAAAAGAAATCATTACCTCTGAGATGAAGGAAGACTCAGGGAGCAGCAATAAAATACCTAACCCTCACAAGAAGAAAATAATTATAAGATCTTCATATATTTTACTTAAAAAGAGCAATTTCTAAGAATGAATGGCCATTATTACCTTCTATTTGATCTAAAGGCAACTAAAGATCCGAAAACTCTTTCACGATGTTTCATTTGAACTAAGTAGATTCACCAGTTTTAATACATAGCTGACACCAGCAAGACCTTAATTCAACGGATATTCATATTTTCCATATTTTAAGACAAAATAGTAATATTTAAATAATATTATAACCTTAGGAACTACAGCAGTTTTATTCAACCATTGTTACTCTCTATCCTATTTTACCAGCAAAATGTTGTATAAATATGGCTAACATATCCTAACCTAACCTAAAGTAGTACTTGTTCATCATATACATTACTTCTACTAGTAACAAAACATTTTAATTTTATTAGGCATCTTTCAAAGCAATCAACTGTCAGTGAAACATTTTTTTTTTTTTTTTAATCATAAAAGCTAAGTACACACCTGATATCAAGTAACCCTTCAGCCGTGGAAGCAGAGTTTCTGGATCAATTAGAGTGAGTTTGCCTAGACATTCAGCAACAACATTTCTGGTTCCTTCTTCTGCACACTCACAGTGCTTTAGCAGTAAGGCCCAGATGTTTTCAACATATGGTTTAAGGCCCATCACTGATGCAGAACTAATAATCTCCTTCAAGGAATGAAGCAAAAGATACTGCCGCTTTGGTTGACTGGTTATTTCTTGTAAGACAAATGGCAGATATTCCGGAAGGTTGCCCACACTAATGCTGCCTAGTGCATAGGATGCAGCTGATTTGACTTCTTCACTAGGAGACGAGAATGCTTCTAATATTACAGATTTCAGTTCCAGCTGCCCACTTAAGTCAATATGATGCCCAACTTCTCCTAGAGAAAGCAGTGCTAAGAGACGAATGGAATCGGTAGACCTTGAGTTCTTGACATCTTGAATAAATTGACCTACTACAGCTGGTCCCTCTTTAGGACATGCTCGCGTAAGAGCAGCTACACATTTGGCAATGGAATAGTAAGATTGCTTGTGAGTAAGAGCTGTACTCTGAGAGTAAACGGGACCTGTCAGCATGCGCAGTAAATCCATGTATCCTAGATTATTTGTTCCAGTGACAACCAGAGCTTGGAAAAAGTCTAGCATGGCACTAAGAGCTCCTCCCTGCAACAAAGGTGATCTTACAAGTCCAATGAGCTCATTAAGAATAGATCCACTTATCTTTGAAAGGGAGGAGGGATACACTTTTGCCAGTGTGGTGAGAAAACTGATAGCCATCTGAGAAACATGCATATCACTTTCACTGATAAGAGGCGGGAGCTCATCTAGAACTGCATCAATCATGGCAGCTGTTAAGCTGTCACTGTAGTTCTTAATTAGAATATCTAGGGCAGAAAGGGTACCTAGCTTCAAAGCTCTCTGGTTTTTCCTGAGAAAGGAAGCAAGAATAGGAACTCCTTCTCCCAGGACAGGCCTCAAATCTATTTTCAAAGGTGACCCAGCAATCAATGTCAATGCCTTCACTGTAGTTAATCGGGTAATTTCATTCTTTAGTCTCTCCAAGAAAATCTGAAGTGTATTAGGCAAATCAGAACCCAAATTGTCTCCAAGGTTGCAAATAATCTGTCCCATGCAGGAAATAGCCCTTTCCTTGACCTCCTGATCAATGTCAGCTGCTTTTAACCTCTTAATGGTACAGGTAAATAAATCTTTGATATAAGGAGTTGCATCAAATGAAGAAGGCTGATCTAAAGGACGGATTACTTTGACAAGCTGTTGTGTAACCAGAAGTGCTTCAGACGTAATCTTGTAAAATGGGTCTCCAACACAAGCCACCACTGGAGGGACTAAAGCCTGAACATGAGGATGGAAGACTTGAGGAGAGTGGTTACAGAGAATTACATACAGACATGACAAAGCATCAATCTTTAAATTCGATGAGCTTGATTTATCATTCAGTGAGAAAATTATTCCTGAAAAATCAACAACAAAAATCCAATCACTTCTGTGTTTATTTTAAGAAACAAAAAAATTAGAAATCAAGCCCTATAACACTACTAGCTTCTCTCTTAATAGTAGTCCCAATAGCAGAAAATCTACATACAGCCCATGATAAAGATTAGAGTCACATTTAAAAAAACATTTTACTGGGAATTTTCTAATTTCAAGTGCTAAAGATGGCTAAATTAAAAAGTTAGCTCTATCAGGGGGCTTCTGTAAAAATATTTACAGAAAAATTGAATTAAAAGATAATGAAATGTTCCCCACAAATTCCATCTGCCCCTTCCTTTGTGCATATTAAGCTGTCACAAATTTTCCTTTTGAAGGCAACAATTATTTCAAACTTATCTAAGTCTTAGTAAAGCATCTATAATAGTTCCCCCCCAAAGGGATTAACTATTACTCTCATACCTGGTACAAGTACAGGAATGTGTTGCGTTAGAGCCCCAGGTAATACATTTACCAGTTCAGTTAACATGTTAAAACAACACTGCCGAGTCTTCACACTTTTTTCTTTCATCTGTTTGTGAAGAGCTTTAACAATGTTGGGAACCTGTAATTATCACACACTCATTAGTAGTTTGGCACTGGTTATTTCCCACAATATATTTAACATCAATTTGGGGGGAGGGGAGAATACTTTTTTTTTTTTAAATTAACTTCATTATTCACCTATCTACTACTGTTACTGCTAACAAGACATTTACACATGAACAGCTTTTGTGCATGTATTACATGTTCTCTTGTAACTTCTTTGCTAATCCTGATAAAGTCACAAGAAAGTTATCATTTAGCTTTCTACAAATGAGTCTTCCTTGATTACAAAAAGCATGAAACTAAACAGAAATCTAACCAAATTAGATTTTTCAACCCAAATTTTAAAAGCACAATTTATAAATGTTATTTTGACAAAAACAGTGCCGAGAATGTAAAAGTAACCCTCAAATAGGTCATTTTCACCCCCAGTTTGCTGTTATAATGAAATCAATCTCACTTGAATTACAATTATACAAAGAGAATGGGTATAATATGAAGACATTGACTCTAAATTTCCCAATGCTCTGTCTGTTAAGTCAGTAAAATCTACCAGGATTTCTACTAGCAAATCTTATGGATGCCATCATATATTCAGAGCTCCGAAAATCCTTCAATAGCAAAGCAGGTAGAGATTTTAAAAACGATGTAGATGCATAACATAATTGAGCAATGACTGGATAACAAGACACAAAAGAAAATACCTAATTTACCATCCTATTCTAAATAGTGGCTGACTTCTATACACTAATTTAACTGCTTACATCATTATATACTCCATCTCATTTCCTTCTACAATTAACCTTCAATGTTCACTATTAAAAGTTTAGCATGAAATTTATCTGCACTACTTGAAAATATGTATATATGCTCATATCACATAATTTAGTTGCCTAGTAGCTCACAAGATCTGTTTTATAATCTATAAAAAATGAACATACAGAACATATCTAAAGGACTGCTTCAGAAAGTACAAATGATAATAGGAAAGTACCAGGTATATACTAAATTACCAGTAAGTGGCAACTTTTAGCTATAATGTTTAGGAGACTGGGGGGAAGGGAAGCCCTAAAATGGGAAATATTTATTTTTTTAATAATAAGAACTAGCATATATCAAGCAGTTTCTATATTGTAGGCACAACACTAAATGTTCTACACATTTCTCACAACCTTAAAAAGCAGATATTTCTAAGTAAACCCTTATAACAAATGAGAAAAATGAGGATTATACAAATAATTTAATAACTTCCTGGTGAGGCACTGAAAGATCAGCACCGTATTGTGAACCACAATGTCAGCAGTTCATATTCACCAGTTGCTCCTTGGAAACCCTAAACAGCGTCAGTACAAGTCGGAACAGACTTAATACAAAGGAGTGAAACGGGTTCTAAGTACAGATAGACTCACTTTTATCAACATGATTATGTTCCAAAGAAGAGGTTGCTGTGTGAAAACGGAGGATGATCACATCAGATCATAAAATGGAAGCTGACAATATCAACCAGAGAATCTGCCAAACCAGAGAATCATGGCCAAACCAGGCAAACGTATAACCTTAGCCATCACAGAAGTGATCTTGCCTTGCACCTCTGCATTCGCTACTGCCAGATGAACGCAATTAATAAACAAAATACATACTTTTTTTTTTTACTATTACTGTAAATGTGAAATGCTGTAACAAGACAGTTGACAAATGAGGAATAGGACTCATGGGGTGGCGCTGTAGGATCAGCATGGACTGTGAACCACATGGTCAGTAGTTTAAACTCACCAGCAGCTCCTCAAAAACTCTATACAGTCACTATGAGGTGGAACACTCAATGGCACTTAATTAAAAACAAGATATAGCTTGACTCTATAGTTCTAAGACCTCGTCCATTAATGTCAAAGATAAAGACTGTTAAACCTTAGATTATTTTAATAGTTTACCAAGTAAAATCAAGAATAAAGAATACTTCAACCAAGATGAGTAAGTATTTAGTATCACTACTGGACTGACTACTATATAAAAAGATCCAGACAGCTCCAATACCCATGTCAATTTATACTTCTAATAGCAGTACTATTCAGGTAGCACCTCCCTTTCTGACCTCTAAAGATATTTTGGAATTCCCATATAAAAGCACAATTTGAAATAATACTACATTTATTATCATGACACTCTAGCTGTAACTTTAAACCAACCTGACTCTGAAGCATTGTTAACGGTGTTTCTCCCTGTTCCATTGCATCAGGGTCACAAAGCCAACTTTGAACAGGACGAGTTTGCTTTAAAAGGGAAAGATATGCATGGAAAACATCTGCCTTTACATTCTCTTCACGTTCTTTAAATCTGGATATCAGTGCAGGAGAGACCGTCTTGTAGAATTCTGGAAGCATTTCATGTCTTGTGCTAACTACAGCATCCAAGCACTTAGCAGCTGCACGTCTCACTTTCCAACTCATGTCATCATCATCACTGTATTCATCATCACTCCCTAAAGAGATGGTTTAATGCATAGACTTTTAATCATAGGGAAAACATGCCATTTAATATAAAGAGTCAATTGATAGTCATAGCTAAGACAGTTTTTCTAAATTTTCACTAACACTAGGCAAGTTTTGAAAATAAAACTTTAAGAGATGCAGTTTGTTATTTGTATTAAATTACTCCTAACTGTGGAGACCTGGTAGCATAGTGGATTACAAGCTGGGTTGCTAATCACAAGGCCAGCAGTTCAAATCGACCAGTGGGGCTCTGGTAGGAGACAGATGAGGCTTTCTGCTCTTGTACAAATTTACAGCCTCAGAAACTCTATACAGGGTTGTTATGAGTTGGAACTGACCTTAACACACACAACCACCACGACCCACTCATAATTGTACCTTATTGTGTTAAGCACTTTCTCATTTATTATGGATAATGCACTTATTTAACTCTAAGCTTTAAAATATAAAGGTTTATGCAAACACAATACTTCAAGCATTATAAATAATATGAATAGAAATATACTTTAAAAGACACACTGTACACTCTAAGAAAATAAAATAATTCATGGAGTTTATAAGAGAACCAATGAAGTGGGTATGTGGGTACTGTTAGTAGCACTGAGTTAATTACAACTCATAGTCAACTTGTAGAGAGTTTCTGAGGCTGTAAATACTTGCAGTAGCAAAAAACCTCCCTCATCTTTCTCCTGTAGAGCAGCTGGTCGGCTTGAGTGATAGCGAATTTGAACGGCCAACCTTATGGTTCAAACTGACACTGCAGTCCAGTGCTTTATCCCACAGCGCCACCCCAGGACTCCAATGTGGCTATAGATGATGAGATAAAAAGATTGGTTACCAATCCCTTTCCAAGTCACGTCATCATAATCACTGTTCATTATTTACTCCTTGAAGACAAATTTTAATTAATTCATACTAAGGAGCTATGGTAGCGCAGTGGTTACGAATTGGGCTGTTAATCTCATGGTCAGCAGTTCGAAACTACAAGCTGTTCCACGGGAGAAAGATGAAGCTTTCTGCTCCCATAAAGATTTACAGCCTCGGAAACCCTGTACAGGGTTGTTATGAGTTGGAACAGACTCCATGGCACTTAACAACAAACAACAACAAGGAGCTGTGGTATTGTAGTGGTTATGAATCGGGCTGCTAACCTCAAGGTCGGCAGTTCGAAACTGCCAGCGGTTCTAAGGGAGAAAGATGAGGCGTTCTGCTCCCGTAAAGAATTACAGCCTTGGAAACCCTGTGCAGGGTCACTATGAGTTGGAATTGACTCCACGGTACATAACAACAACAACAACAACAACAAAGGATAGTATAGCGTCCTGGTATGGCACTGTAGGTAGGACAAGCACTGGACCATAAGGTTGGTTTGAACTGCAAGGTCAGCAGTTCAAAATCACCAGTCGCTCCTTGGAAACCCTATACAGGGTTGCTAAGAGTCGGAACTCACTCAACACATAACAGCAACAACAAGGAACGTATGGAGTCCGAGTGTAACACTATAGTATAACACTGGACTGCTAAGAGAAAGACTGGCAATTCAAACCCACCAGCTGTTCCTCAGAAAATCTACACGGGGTTGCCATGACACGGAACCAATTTATTGGCACCTAAAAACAAGTAAAGCATATTGCAAAAGAGACAAGTTGGAGGACCAGTTTTCAAGTGGGAAAAAGAAATCCTTCATCAGATTTCTTTGTGGATGTCACAGATTGTGTTCCCCAACCTCCAAAATATGTGTCAACTTGACTGGTTCATGATTCTCAATGTTTTGGCAGTTAAGTAATGATTCCCCATAATACAATGTACTGTGGTACACCAAAAAGAGGATTAATGGTGGGCCTGGTGTGGTGCTGTGGGCTAATGAGTCAGGCTGCAGTCATCTGAACTCAAGGTCGGTTATTCAAGCTCACCAACTACTCCCTGGAAACCCTATACAAGGTCGGTATGGGTGGGAATCAACTCGATGGCACTTAACAACAACAACAATACCATTAATTTTGTTACAACCTTGATCCAATATATGGGAGTTTCCCACAAGGTAAGGTCTGCATCAAGATATAAAGGAGAAATAAACAGAGAATGAGTGGTCTACCACCAATAGCGCAGTGGGTACGAATCGGGCTGCTAATCTTACGGTCAGCAGTTCGAAACTACCAGCTGTCCCATGGGACAAAGATGAGGCTTTCTGCTGCCGTAAAGCCTCGGAAATGCTGTGCAGGGTCGCTACGAGTCAGAACCAACTCCGTGGCACATAACCACCACTAGGAAAGAAAAGCCAAGAGTGGAGTGTGACCTTTGGACCTGGGGTCCCTGCACTGTGAGGTTCCTAGATCCAGGGATGCCAAGACACATGGAGATCTCCAGGGAATGTTGGGCTTACAGACGATGAAAAACCACAAGGACATTTCCCCAGAGCTGACACAACAGACAAATCCTTCCCCTACAGCTAGCACTTTAAATTTGCACATCTAGTCTCCTAGGCTGTGAGAGAATAAATTTGATTGCTAAAGCCACCCCACTTGTGGTATTACTGTTGTAGCAGCACTAGATAACTAAACAACTGGCTATTACGAACAAATACAAATATTCTCAAAATTCCAAGAAAAGTCAGACGATAGATTTAGTAGGTCTCATTGGGCTGCTAAATGCTAAGTTGGTGGTTCAAACCCATTATTAACTCCTTTGAAACCCTATACAGGGTCACTGTGACTCAATGGCATTTAACAACAGCATGATAAAAACTAACAATTAGCCTACAATTTTGTTATTCTTCATTATGGTAGTAACTCCTTAGTTGTGGGCAGGGGGTTGATAATGTCATCTCCTCCCTGACATACCAATTTTTCTATATCTCTCCCCACCACCCACTGTCATCGACTCAATTCTAACTCAAGGTCATCCCTTGTGTGTCAGCACAGAACTCTAAGTCAATAGGATTTTAAATGGCTGGCTTTCCAGAAGACCACCAAGCCTTTCTTTCAAGGTGCCTCTGGGTGGTAGATTCTATTAGACCACCATGATTTTGGTTAGCAACCAAACACACTAACCATTTGGACCACCTAGAGACTCCTCTGATTACTTGGTTGTTGTGTGCCATTGAGTCGGTTCCAACTGACAGCAAGCCTGAATAGGATTTCTGAGAAGTGACTATTGAGTTTGAACTACCGTCCATACAGTTAACATTCCAGTGCTTATCCTACGGTGTCATACCAGGACTCCTCCAATCAGCTTGTTGTTGTTAAGTGCCATCAAGTTGGTTCCAACCCGTAGCGACCCTGTATAGGGTATCTGAGGAGCAAATGGTGAGCTTGAACCGCCGACCTTGATGTTCAAAACGACTTTGCAGTCCAGTGCATTAGCCCGCAGAACCATACCAGGGCTCCCAAATTAGCTTGTTGTTGCTGTTAAGTGCCATTGAGTAGGTTCTGACCCATAGCGACCCTGTATAGGGTTTCCGAGGAGCAACTGGTGAGCTTGAATCCCCGACCCTGCAGTTCAAATGGATTTGCAGTCTGGTGCATTAACCCACAGCACCAGAAATGTAATCAATCAATACCTTAGGAAATTACAGTATATATAACAAAATTTTCGAATCTCCAAAAGATTTCATAATTATGCTTTAGCATGTTGTATGAAAATCCAGGTAAATATTGCGAAACCTAAAGCATTTAATTCATTCACCAATATCTATTTATATAAAAGTTAGGAGGTAATGTTAAAGGGAAATAAAGTTGCCTCGTATCAATACAACTATAGGATTCACATTCCAATAATATAAGCTTTAGTAAAGACAAAGTTACAAGAAATTAGCAAATGTGCTAATCACTGAAATTATGCTGATTATGAATTATAGCTATGCTATGAATATTAAGTATAATCCATGTAACTAAGGTGAGGACTTAAAAGCCCCAAGGTTTTTTGTTAAGAGCCAGTAAGAAGAATGGTACAGCTCTTTAGAGATGGAAAGGGCTAAAGTAAAATAGATTGGGGGTGGAGAGGAGAAGATATTTTAGACATTCAAGAAGCAAGATGATCAGGTGATGTGGTGCCATAGGATAAGCACTGGACTGTTAACCAGAAAGTTAATGATCCAAACCCACCAGTCACTCCTCAGAAAGTCTACACAGGGTTGAGTCAGAACAAAAGCACTTGACAACAGCAACAACAACAACCAGTTGGATAAATCTGGGTTGTCAGTGTACCAATATTAAAGCCAGGAGACAGGTGAGCTCAACAAGAGAATAAAAGAACAGTTGAGTGTCTGCAGACTGAACTTCGGGATATTCCAAAGTTTACTGGTCAATGAAATGAATAACTAAGCATAAAAACCTGTGGAGTAAAACAAATACAGGCTTAGAATAAGGAAAGAATGATGTTTTGGAAGATAAAGAAAGGCTGCTGAGATTGAATAATAGGCAGAGTAAACATCTGCGGTCACTCTCACTGGAGGAAAAAGTTCAAAAAATAATGAAAAGAAACTGGAGTCAATTCTTTTAAGGAGTTGTGTTGTAGAGGTAAGAAATTGGACTACAGGGACCTCAGCTACTGTGGGGTCAAGGAGAGATTATTTTGTAGCTATATATCCATATATATGAAGTTTGGTGTGGTGTTGTAGGATAAGCACTGGACTGACAGCTGCAAAGTCAGTAGTTCAAACCTGTCAGCCACTCCTTGGAAACCTTACACAGGGTCACTGTAAGTGGGATCCAACTACTCTTGACAGCACTTAACAACATATATTGTTGCTGGTCAAGGGCCGTCAAGTTGGTTCTGACTCAGGGACTCTGCGTAGGGTTTTTTCAACGAGTGGCTAGTGGGTTTGAACCGCCAACCTTGGGTAGCAGTCCAGTGCTTATCCTACAGTGCCATACCAGGACTTCATAACATTAAACACAAACACATATATGTTGTTGTTGATTAGTGCCCATAAAAATCAGTTCCTACAGCGACCTTGAATGGTAGGTCACCATTCTGTTCTTGTGATCTCATGGCAAAGGAGAATGAGGTTTGTTCTCACTGACTCCTGATGCCCTTCCACCATTATTGAACATTTTGATAAAGATTACTTAAAAGAATACAATCAAAAGGAAGAAAATACAGAAAGGAATTTCAATTTTAAGGAAGCTAGATGGGCCCCTCAAATAATGACCTGAGATAACCATTAAAGCTTAAAACTATCCCCTGATGTCTTCCTAAACCAAATAATACTAAAGAATGTCTGCCATGAGCATTATCCTTTTCAAGGACTGTCTGGGATCAAAGGGACAACCACAACTCAAAAGATTAGCTAGGAAAACTAAAAGAAAACAAGTAAAATGTTAATGGAAGAAATAACTCAGAAAAGTAGGGTAAGAACGCCTGCAAAACTTAAAGAATGTAACCATTATCACCAAATTGTACATGTTGTTGTTGTTGTTGTTAGGTGCAATCGAGTCAGTACCAACTCATAGCGACCCTATGCACAACAGAATGAAACACTGCCCAGTCCTGGGCTAACTTCACAATTGTTGCCATGCTTGAGTCCACTGATGCTGCCACTTTGTTTTCTACATTGCACATGTAGAAACAGTTCGATTTCTTTAGTTTTCCTGGATATAATCTCAATAACAACAAAAAGAATCAAACTAAAATAATAGGAAATCCGCACACGCATATACTTAGTCATTTACTCATTATGCATATAATATATGTATACATGGATTTACACCCTCGGAAACCCTATACAGGGTCGCGATGGGTCAGAACCGACTCGATGGCACATAACAACAAATAACAACAATATATATGTATAAGCAAACTAATAGTTCTTCAAAACCAAACATCTCTGAATATGTGTACTTTACAAGTACAACTGTTTTTTTTTTTAAGACGGACTCTCCCTTCATCTACCTACAAAAACACTTTGAGCAAATATGAATAATGATAAAGAACAAACAAACAAAAAATATATGCTTATCAAGTAAGAACTTGTAGGAATATCATTTTTTTTTGGTATATTTAAGAAGAAAATAAAACTGGAATTTAAGTGGTAATTTTTATTATTCATTTTTCCAATTAAAAAAAGGGTGTTTTCCACATCCTTAAATATTTTTTTAAAATATGATTTTGAACAGCAGTTTGCTACATATATACACTAGAATTTATTTGTTATTAACAAATACTGAGATCATTTCCATGTTCACTATTATAAACAAATGGTAATAGCAGAGTTAGAAATCATTTCATCTGAATCACTGGATCACTCATGAAAATTTCACGAAGTCCTACTGAATTTAAAATACCTTGATCATCATCATCACCACCATCTGCATCCATAGCATTTTCATCTTCATCTTCATCATCATAATTGTAATTTGGGTCATAGGTAAGATATTTAAGACAAATATTTATAATGGTAGAAACATGAGGATATACTTCCTTAGGACATCTAAAGAAAAAACAAAAGCTATCTGTGAATCACTGTACTTGATCTTATGTACCACATTTTACTTTAATACCAGGTTTTCTTTCTTCCCTTCAACATACAAATGTAGTTCTTAACTTCTTCAATATCAATGGGCTTTGATCATTTTATCCCATGACCATATTTTAAAATATTTACCTTTCAAATCATACTTATTTCATTTTAGATGAACTATTTTGTCACGTTACCATCTCTGAGATTAGGACAATTTTTGCAGGTGATGAAATGTTATCTCATAGTTCATTATAGAGAAAAATCTGTATATGTTCTATTTTCTCAATGCCTGACCAGATGAAAATGTTTTTTTTCTCAACAAATAGAATTATTTATGAAAATGCCAGTGCACGTTCATCTGGATTTGGGCCTCTTCTCTTGTTATGTGTTGAGAAAACAGAATACACAAATGCCCACATAACCGAATAGGGAAATAAATTTGTAGTTTTAATTAGTGATGGAAGCGAAATAAAAAAATTCTGCTCTAACAATTTGACATGATAATGATTTATAATCGCCGGTTAACAACCAGAGGGTTCTCAAGGCACTGTGCTCCTATACTATCAGTTCTGACCAATGGCAAAATATCTGGCCTTCTAGGACACAACAACAGAATTTTTATTAAGCTTGTTAAAAAGTTTTCAAATCAAGCACCAATGCCTTAATTGCATGGAATGGACTGTAACCATGGCAATGAGACGATATACGATAGAATGAATGTAAGACTGATGTTCTCCCATGTAAACGATCACATAATTCACAATAAAACATTAAAAAAAAAAAAAAAAAAGAACCAATGCCTTAGCAAAATAGATATTTTTAAAAACTGTTAACACAATAAATTTGCCATGTTTCTGGACAACTTATCCTGTTGCTCTTAGAATGGAGACTTCGTTATTATATTGGCATCTCTTCTAAACAAGCGAAATCAAACCAATGATAAGCCATTTCCCCCTAAGTTCTTTAAAAATAGAGCTTAACAACTAAAAGGAAATACCTTCTTTTCCTGGCACATCGCTATAAAAGAGACACTAGAGGGGGTGAGAAAGGAATAGATAGAAAATACCACCATAAAAAGCTTGTAAGTCCATCTTCTACCTATAACTGATTGAAATACCTAAAGTGAGGCTACAACGTCGTGCCCAGCGAAGGACGCTTCCTGCAGAGGCTCTGCATTATACAATGCCATAGGCTGAATCCTGAACAACGTCCAGAATCTTCTGAGGGGAAAATTCCGCTTGAAAGGACAAGCAGACCAGCCTGGAGTGGCCAGAGGAACAGAAGATACTTCCTGAAAGAAAGACTGACAGGAAAAATACAAACCACTATAGGCAGGCCGACTGATTACTACAAGAACAAACAAGTGGCTCGCCCAGGAGACATCAAGGCAAGTGGTCGGGTCCCCCTCAGGGCAAAGCCCCTTCTAATATTAAGGCTCAATGAGAATGCATGCTCTGATTAGTGACCACGTTTGTCATTGATAAGGGGAAATCAGGAAAAAACAGCAATGAAGCTGCTAGCTAAGCCCTACAATGCTCAACAGACTCTGTGAACCCGGGTGGAGACCTGGTTGGTCAGCAGTGTGCCAAGTCCAGGGGACTCTTGGACCCAGAGTCAGCGACATAGACACAGAGGACTAGAGTGGAAAGTGAAGCATCCAGCTGCTAAGAAGAGAGGGCACATGCATAAGTACATCCATACTTGACCTGGCTTCAACGGCTGGATGATCAGAGCTCAACCAGAAGAAAGAAGAGAGAAAAAAGAATAATCTGATACAATTTGATGACCTTGACATACACCTATGGAAACAGTAGCTCAAAAGAGTGAACAAATCTTCACAGCGAGCATCATTCCTACCTCTTTTACACACAGAGAGGACACGGATGGGCAACTTGGACATTGGCTACCCAGAATGGGGGGCTACAGAGGCAAGAAGTGACTGGCTTATAAGCTTTCAAAAGGGAACCTAAGATCCAGAGGGCATGGAGCAAGGTAGAATCTCCACTGAGCCTAGTCAGGGCTGATGAAAGGAGATGAGGATAGGTCTCTTGAGATACAACAGCGAATAACTGCTATCAGGACTGACTGTAAAAGCTGGAAATATAAAGATAGACATTTTGGGTCAAAGGGAGGGGAGTGATTAACTTTGCAGTCTAGGAGCAGAGGTCCCTGGGACCATCAAAGGAGAAGAGTGGAGAACAGAACCCTACCCAGAGAAACAGTGATGCCAGGGATGGAGGTAGAGACGATGACATGGGGAGATGGAGTGGCTGGGGACTTTGGACCCGGAAACGGAGAGGGGCTGTGTGTTGACAACTTGGGGGGCAGGCTTGCGGGGTATACCCTTTGGTTGATGGATGATGCATGAAAGGGACTGTAACCATGGCAAGGAAACGATATACAATGGGATCAATGTGAAGCTGATGTCCTCCCATGTAAACTATCACATAATTCAAAATAAAGCAAACACCTTCAAAATAAATGTGAGCTACATTTAAAAAGAGATGCTATTCACTTGGGTTATGTCATTAGTTATTAGTTACTGTTTTGTTTGATGATGAGAAACTAATTAAAATACACATAAAGTCCAAAACACCAGCAGAATAACCCATTTCTCCTCATACACCTAATCTAGATTTTAATTATTATTCTATTCTTAAGGAAAAAAATTAGTTAAAGCATAAAAAACTTAAAACACTTACCTTCTCACAAATGATTCAAAGGCTTGAATACAGTATTCTCTTAATTCATCATCATCTACATTACAAAATTTTACCACCAAAGGAATTATCTTCTCAAGGTATTCCCCTACAAAAAAGCATGCTGATTCTTAAAAAAAAAAAAAAAAAACACACAGTAATACTGTTTTAAATTAAAGAAAACATTCAAAACATTTCTTACCGATTCTATGACCAGCTTGCCTGCTAATTGCAGCTATACATTGAATGTAGGTTCTTGTTGTAGACATAGAATCATTTTTGGACAGCTCTGACAACAGATGTTCAATGAGATCTACAAAAACTATATTCCCACAGCTCATAACCAAGTGGCCAAGAGCAATAATGGTTCTTTTCCTCACTGCAAGTCTAGGGCTGGTCAACTGAGGAAGTAGACACGTCAGAATTGAAGGATGAAAATTAACAAGAAGTCCTCCTTGCCTTAAAGAAAGAAAGAAAACAACAATTAAATTCAAGATGTCTGTGTACTAATGAAATGTCTGGCCTCTAACCTCAATATAAATTATTTACCATGATAAATTTAGATGAGACTAACCCAAAGGAGCTCTGGTGGCGTAGTGGTTACGAGTCGGGTTGCCAACCTCAGGATCAGCTGTTTGAAACTACCAGCTGTTACGCAGGAGAAAGATGCTTTCTGCTCCCGTAAAGATTTACAGCCTCGGAAATCCTATGCAGGCTCACTATGAGTCGGAATCGACTCCAAGGTACTTACCAAAAAAACCCCCAAATTCAGAATAAATAAAACACTGAACCCTCACTACCTCTACAAAAGCAACCCACAATGTGAACTAAGTGAAGTGGAGCAACTTTGAAATCTGTATACCTAAACTACTTCAATGACACTAGACCAGCAGTCCTGATTTTATATTTCCAAGCAATGGACTTCGGCACACATTACAAAAAACAAAACAAAAAACCCACAGTTATCGGTTTTCTCCTTCCCAGATCTCTTACTTTTCCTGTTGATTATATCAGGGAGCTCACTGTTCAAAATATTATTGGCATCTTTCCTCTCCTCATCTCTATATAGCTATACAGATGTTTCATTATTCTATTGGTCTCCCTCTCTTCCAATCCCAGATGTGCTATACAATGAATCAAACAGTAGTCAAATAGCTATGATGTGCGCCACAACCTACCTAGTGATAAAAATCACACAGCACAAAATCTGCCTGGATTTTCACTCTCTATCAAATTAAATATAAGTTTCGAACCCACACCAAAATGACCCTAATTAATCATAGTGATTTCCTACGCTTCTATTTATGCTATATTCTGGAACACAAGAACACTAAATTTTTAACCACCAAGATCACTTATGCTGATCTATTCTATACCTGTGCATAGTCACTAATATAAGCCCACCATTCTTTAATGTTTAATTCAAATGTCACTCGTCCCATAAAAACTTAATTCCTACCAAGGAATCTCCAGTTTAAACCCCAAATACATAACTATATTACAGCTATTTGTGTTCTTATGTCCTATGGTGGTGGTGGTGCCATGGAGTCAGTTCTGGCTCACAGCGACCCTGTATAGGGTTTCCGAAGCTGTAAATTTTTACGGGAGCAGAAAACCTCATCTTTCTCCTGCGGAACAGCTGGTAGTTTAGAACTGCTGATCTTAAGGTTCACAGCCCAATTCGTAACCACTACGCTACCAGAGCTCTTTCTTATGTCTTATACTAAAACCATAAAAAGTAACAAATGTCCAAAAACTAAGTTCCTTCTTCCCCAAACACATGTAGTATAAAGTAAGTTGCTGAAATTTACCAGCCTTGTTTTAACTAGAATATTTGCCATTCTCACTAGCTAAAAAAATCTTACCATCTAAATAGATTATTACACTAAAAAAGATAAGTACTGAAACAAAACATGAAAACTGTGTGGTGGTGGTGACATGCTGTGGAGTTGATTCTGACTCATAGCGACCCTGTACAGGGTTTCCGAGGCTGTTAAGTCTTTATGGGAGCAGAAAGCGTTATCTTTATCCTGCGGAGGAGATGATAGTTTTGAACTGCTGACCTTGCAGTTAGCAGGCCGACTCGTAACCACTATGCTATCAGAGCTCCTTTTGAAAACTGTTGTTGTTGTTGCTAAGTGCCGTTGAGTCGATTCCAACTCATTATACAGGGTTTTCCAAGGCTGTAAATTTTTACGGGAGCAGAATGCCTCATCTTTCTACCACGGAACAGCTGGTAGTTTCGAACTGCTGACCTTGTGGTTCGCAGCCCGACTATTAACTGCTACGCTATTAGAGCTCCTTTGAAAACTGTTGTAGAAACATTCAAATCACGAATTTATTCCTCTTTTGGTGGTTAAGGAAACCCTGTACAGGGCTGCGATGAGTTGGAATTGACTCAATGGCACATAACCACCACCACCCACCAAGGGTCTTCGAGTAGGGTCTGACTCATAGTGACCCTGTGTAGGTTTTCCAAAGAGTAGTTGTTGAGTTTGAACCTCCAACCTTACAGCTCGCAGTACAATTCTTATCCTACAGTGCCACTCTAGTATTCCCTTATTAATTTTTAGAACTATAAAAATGTTTGATATGCAATATTACATAATTACAATAAACTTACTTTCTCCCTTCCACAGTCACACATATAAACAAAACACAATTTTAAACATGAATAACTTTGGACGAATTTTATTCTACTTACAGAAAGGGTTTTAATAAATACAGCAGTATTTCAATTACTAAAAACGTAAATAGACACACCTGCTTAACATATCAGCCATAATATCCAAGGCTTCTAGCTGAACAGAGACATCTTCCTGCTTTGCAATTGCACTGGTAAGACGTCCAGTAATCTTTTTACATACATTAGCAGCTAATGCAGAGCCTGCACAGATAAGAAATCAATAACAGTTTTGGGTTTTAAGGTAAGTATAATTTTACATTACATTTATGGTGGTGGTGGTGTTAAGTGCTGTCAAATCTATTCTAACCCATAGTGACCCTGTATAGGGTTTCTGAGAAGTGACTGGTGAGCTTGAACCACCAACCTTGCAGTTCAAGATGACTTTGCAGTCCATCACATTAACCCAAGCACCACACCAGGTAGTTATCACATATTAAACAACTCTAAACCTAATACAGAATCCTGGTGTGGTGCTGCTGAATAAGCATTAGACAGCTAACTGCAAGATGGTAGTTCAAACCCACCAGCCACTCCTTGGAAACCCTATTCAGGGCAACAATGAGTCAAAACCAACTCAACTGCACTTAACAACAAAACGAATGAGGCTTAATAGATCTATGCCAGAAAAATGTGCTTATCACAACCTTTGGTCACTTTTTATAAGAATTAAACATAAACAAGAATTAGAGAATATAACTGCAAAAGAGGAACAGGACATAAGTAACAGGGCTCAGATTTAATAAGCTCTACTGGACAACTTTCTGTAAGCGCTACCAAGAATATCTACTAAACAGTCAGTAGTAGCTTGCACTCCAGGCTAGAAGCAGCAACACATTTTTTTTCTATTGGAGTCCTCTATTTTAATACTGTCTAGTTACTCTAATGGCAACGCCATGCGTTTCAGAGCAAAACTGTGCTCCATAGGGCTTTTGATGGCTATGATCTTTCAGAGACCTGGTAGTGTAGTAGGCTATGAGTTGGGCTGCTAACCTCAAGGTCAGTAATCTGAATTATTGCTGCTCCATGAAAAAAAGATGATGCTTTCTGCTCCTTTAAAGATTTAAGCCTTAGAAACAGGGGTGGCTATTAGTCGGTACCAAATTGACAGCATACCACTACCATGATCTCTCTGAAGATGCCAAGCGCATCTTCTGAGTAGATTTTAACAGCCAACCTTTCTGTTAGCAATTAAGCATCTGTACCACTTAGACTAGACCCAAACCATGGTATTTTCAATTACAAACCAGTTGGACAATGAATAAGGAAGACTACTTAAGAACTGACGCATCTGAATGTAATTCTACATCACATTCGTGGTATTGTTGTTGTTGTTAAGTGCCACTGAGTCAATTCTGACCTATAGCGAGCCTGTGTTAAGGTTTGAATGTAACTGAGTTATGGTACTAGAGAAGAATATTAAAAGTATCATGGACTGCCAGAAGAACACACAAATCTGTCTTGGAATAAGTATAGGTAGAACAACGCTCTTTGGAAGCCAAGATTTCATAGTTGGACATATTATCAGAAGGGACCTAAACCTGGAGAACATCCAACTAAGGAAAAGGGGGAAGGAACCCCAAGGTGATAGACTGACACAGTGACAGCAGCAATGGGCTGAAATGTAACAACAATTGTGAGGATGGTGTAGGACCTGGCAGTGTTTGGTTAGATGCCTTCTAGTGGGTTTCCCAACTCTCAGCAACCCTGTGTACAGCACGATGAAACACTGCCTGGTCCTGCACCATCCTCACAATAACAGTGGTTATGTTTCAGCCCATTACTGCTGGCACTGTCAATCCATCTTGTTGGGGATCTTCCTTATTGTCAAGCATGGTGTCCTCCAAGGACTGGTCCCTTCTAACAACATGTCTAAAGTAAAAGAGGCAAAGTCTCGCCATCCTGACTTTTAAAAAACATTCTAGCTGCATTTCTTCTGAGATGAATTTGTTTTTCTGCCAATTCATGGTACTTTCAATATCCTTCACCAACACCATAATTCAAATGCATCAATTCTTCTAGTCTCCCTTATCCATTGGTCAACTTTCATATACATATAGATATACAGATTTGCCTAATGTGAAAAGTTGTTTAGAGTGTTGACAGTTGAACTAAGTAAATGAAGTCTTTGACAATGTTCAATCTTTTCAACATTTATCATGATGTTACTCATTGGTCCTGTTGTGAGGATTTTTTATTTTTTTTACACTGAGATGCAATCCATTTTGAAGACACTGATGTTCATCAGTATGCATTTCCTCTTGGCTTTCAGCAAGCAAGGGTGTGTCATCTGCATAAGGCAGGTTGTTAATGAGTCTTCCTCCAATCCCAATGCCATGCTCTTATATAATCCAGCTCCTTGGATTATTTGCTCAGGATATAGACTGAGTAAGTGTGGTAAAAGTATACAACCCTGGTATACAATTTTCGAAATTTTAAACCATTCCATATCCTTATCTTCTGTTGAAATGACTGCCTCTAAGTCTATGTACAGGTGCCTCATGAGCACAATTAAGTGTTCTGGATATCCATTCTTCCCAGTGTTATCCAAAGGTTATCATGATCCACTATAGACTCTGCACAGTCAAAATAGCACAAGTAAAAATCTTTCTGATAGTCTCTGATACTCAATATAACACTACCTGACTTAATTAACTTTCTGCTTTTGCTCACATCAAGTTTTGGCATGGGAGCATGGTGGCTGGCTATCTGTAGGATAAACACTGGACTCTGAACCACAAAAGTGGTAGTTTCGAGCCCACCCATGTTCCATGGGAGAAAGACAAGAAAATTTACAGCCCTGTAAACCATATACAGGTTCGCTGAGTCGGAACCTAGTTGACTGCACTTAACAACAAAAAGTTTTGACTTAAAAATAAGCAACCAATGAACAGAAGTTTATAAAGATCAGCTGAGTTGCAATAAACTCTAAGGTCCTTTCCAATCCAAAGAATCCATAATTCATTATGTAGCAGCTCGGTTGTTCCAGAGGACTCATAAATCAAGGTTATTACTATGGGCAGCCTCTGAATTATGTGTTCGAGTTAACAATGATATATCTGCCCTTTTTGGGGGGGAGGTTGTAGTACATCTTATCATTAGTAATATGCACTACATACAATGTTGCAGGTTGTAATGTTTACTGTTTCCAAATTCAAAACAAATCAAAAGATTATAATAAAAATAATAATGAAGTACGTATTTAAAACATATATAATCTTCGTAAGTAAGGAACTACCTGTATTTTAAAATATATCATGTTGCTACTGAAGTGGGAGAAACAAAGGAAGAAACTGAAGGTAAAAATCTGAATGGTTAAAAGGCTTACTTTAGAACCAAACCCAGCTACTAAATAAGAGAAAACAAATGATGAAAATATCAACAGATTGGTTGTTGTTGTTAAATGCCCTCGAGTCGGTTATGACTCCTAGTGACCCTGTAAAAGATTTCCAAGGAGAGGCTGGTAGGTTTGAACCGTCATCGACCTTGCGGTTCAAACAGACCTTGTGGCCCAGTGCATTATCCAGCAGCATCACACCAGGTTCCGACCCTGTATAGAGTTTCAGAGGAGCAGCTTGTGTGTGGGTTTGCACCACTGACCTAGTGGTTTGCAGGCAAGTGTTGATCCTATAGCACCACACCCAAGAAGGAATGACAAATAAGTTAATAAGTAAAAACAATATGGACAAATTACATTTCCAACTTAAATCTCCCGACTCGATGGCAATTAACAACAACTCATAAGGAGCTCTGGTAGCGTAGTGGTTATGAATCGGGCTGCGAACCGCCAAGGTCAGCAGTTTGAAACTACCAGCTGTTCCCCGGGAGAAAGATGAGGCTTTCTGCTCCTGTAAAGATTTACTGCCTCGGAAACCCTGTACGGGGTCACTGTGAGTTGGAACTGACTCCACGGCACATAACAACAACTCAAAAGGAAGATACCTTCACCTCATTTTTAGATGAAGCAATGAACTTTCACCCCCCTCCCCCACCTTTTTTTTTTTAGCAGCTTTTTGAGGGCAGCTGGTCAGTGGTAGCAGCTCAATGCTTATCCTATAGCTCCATACCAGGTCTCCAATAACCTAGTGGTTGTTGTTGGTTGTGCTGTCAGTGAGTCAGTTCCAACTCATAGAGAGCCTGATTAGGGTTTCTGGGTCTGTAAATCTTTCCAGAAGCAGAAAGCCTTTTCTTCCACAGAGCAATTGGTAGATTCAAACTACTGACCTTGCAGTTAGCAGCCCAACTCGTAATCCAGTAAGCTACCAGAGCTCCTAGTAGATCAGCTATTGTTGCTATGTGCCAATGAGTTGGTTCCGACTAACAGTGACCCTGTATAGGGTTTCTGAGGAGCAGGTGGTGAGTTTGAACTTCCTACCTTGAGGTTCAAAGTGACCGTGAGGTCTAGTGCTTATCCTAGGGTGCCACCCAGGACTTTTTAGTAAAGACCAACCTCAAAAATTTAGCACATAACTTAGACATTTCTGTCAAAGGCCAAAAGCTAATTAACTGGCATATTCATTAATTCTAGTTTTAAATCGTTTGTAATTAAAATGAGTTTAGCATAAGAGGCTCAACCTTAATTAAAGCTATTATTAAATTTAACTATATTCACAATCTAAATTATGGCTTAACTGGGTTAAGTTTTACATAATAAATTTTGAAATAAAAAGTTTAATACTGAAAACAGAACTAATCAGAAACAACTCATGGTTTTGGCTAATTTTTCATTAATTGAATAGATTAATGTATTTCTAGTCTGTAGCCATGGTATATGCAACACTATAAAATCTCTAACACAAAATTTTACAGAATGATATATTTTCATTCTATCAAAATAATTTTCATTTAATCCTAAAAACTAAATTTATTTCAAAGCAAAAGAAAACTTTAAACCTTTAATTTTTCTTAATTGCTTAAGGGATAGCATAGGAAGATCTGTTAGGGCAGGTACTCCCTTTTCTACCCAGCTGGGAAAGGAAAAAGGTGGAGAAATACCTCACTGCAAAAGGAAATAGGACTTAAAAAAATATTCTTGCTTACCACTGGAAGCTGGAGGAAGTTCTCCAATTACTGTTTTAAGGCCAATACTTGAAATATCTCGAAGTTGCTCTTTATCAGAAAGCATGTTAGTGCAGAGGGTATCTACAATTGTTTCTACTTGGTATTCTTTCACTTTACTCACTAGAGGGCCAAGACTGTAATATAAAGAAGAAGACAAAAGTTTAAATCTAAATAAGCAGAGAAAAATAAGACAAGTAAAAACATGAACTTTTCTGCTTAAAAACTGTCATCAGTGTAACATAAGCCTGTATCATGCATAGTATACAAACAAAGATGTAATAGAAATCCTTGACTGATATTCCTTACATCTGCTTTCTAACAGTTGCTACTGATTTCCACCCTGCAGAAAAAGTTAGTTCCATTCCATATCCAAAGCCCCTTAAAAGTACCTCTCTTGGTAAAATTTTATATGGATATTAAGGTTTGCATATATAGCCACTAGGTGAACTATTCCTTTAGTAAGGCCAGAGAAAGAAATCCTTGATGTTCTTCCCATATAATCTATCCATAAACAAGGTAGGTTAACGTTTGTTGCATGAAATTCACTGAGGGGCCATGGTATTCAAGACTGGATCAAATAAAAAGCTACGTACTCATCTATTGCTGCTGGAAATGCAAAACTGTCTGACACAATGGAAACATTTGGCAGTTCTTCAAAAAGTTAAACACACAAGTAGCATATGACCCAGCAATCCTAATTCTAAATGCTCAGTCCAGTATCTCTCATATAGATGCTCGATTAAAAACCAGTTCACTGACTATTATGGACTGATTACTTGACTGAAGAAGTAGTAGGTAGTGAGTGATGGGGAAATGGAGAAAGGAAGAAAAATAAGCAGAAAGACTGAAGCAATGCAAGAACAGCCTAATCTTAAATGATGGCGGTGAGAATACAGAAATGGGAGATCTATGGAGCGTCTTGATGCGAAACAACAGAAATTGGAGGTAAACATGAAAGAAATTTAAAAAATAAATTTCAGAAATTCTAGTTGTGCCACTGTAGAATAAGCCCTGGAATGCAAGGTTAGTTTGAACTGCGTAGTTGGTGGTTCAAACATGCCAACCACTCCTAGGAAATCCTACACAGGGTTGCTATGA